AATAATTAATTTTAATCACACATTTAATGAACTAACAACTTTCATCAACTTTATCATAATCTATTAAAAATTTAATCTTTAACTACCAAACAGGAGCTAAATAAATTGATTCAATGAAATAGAAGTGCACGACATTAGATAAAGAAATGGATAGAACTGAAACAAATGTGAAATGTAAAAAGTTAAGTAAAAAATTACCATTGAGTGAGTTTCCTTATAACAAGACTTTCCACACTCCTATAGTCCTATGGGGATAATCTTTTTCAAGCCCTTTTAGGGGAATTTCAATTACGAATTTTTTTAAGGGGTAATTTATTCATAAAACTTGTTATTTATTTTAGAGTCAAGTAATGGAATTGAATAAGAATTTTAGAAGTTATTTAAGGGAAAAAAGGGGTAAGTTGGAAAATTTCAAATTTTTTAGGGACCTAAATGAATTAAATTAAAAACAATTTACTTTAGGGGACCTAATTGAACACAAATTGAAAGTTGACTCATAAGGCCAAAAATGGTAGGTCCAAAACTTGGAGACCCATTTTGACGATTTAAGCAACCACTTTTAGGCACTTGTACAACCAAAGGTGGAGCCAGGAATTTAGGTTGCCGGAGACAAAATTTTTAAAAAAGTTGATGTACGAAAATAATTTAAATATAACCAAAAAAAAATCATAATATAACATTATCTAAAGTTGTACCTAATAAGATTTTACATCATAAAATCATATGTAGTAAATCTAGATTTAAATTCATATTGAATTCTCGTTCGATATAAAGTTTCATACAGTCAACTAAAAACTATTATCCATTTTATTTCAAAAGGTAACTAAAATAAGAAAATCTCATCACTAATGTTCAAAATGATGAATTGAATGACCAAACTAAGTACCAAAAAAAGAATAGCATGGGTAAAGCAAAAAGTTCGAAACTTTATAATAAAAACTTTAATGATTCATTCTCATTTATGAAACATTATAACAAAAACTTTAACACATTAAATTAAATTAATATGCAAGCACATCACACACAATTAACAAAAAGTCAAAGTTTTGGACGTATGGACCTAATTTTCTCAAAATTATAGTGACATTGGGTTAGGACTGACTGTACAATTGGGCTGCTGGTGAGTTGATGTTGGACTAAGTGACTAAATCTCTATGGAAAAAATTCATACATCAAGCTTTAAGTATAGGCCAATCCAATTTTAAGAAAACAAGTTTACAAATTCAAAATTCATATGGTAATTAATAAATATTATATATATAAAAAATCTGGACCCACTCCAATCTCTCTTCAATCCCAGCCACAGTCATTGACATCCACCTGTCGACATCCCCTCTCACAATAATAACCATCCATTCACATTAACGGACATCCATCCACTCGCTGGCATCTATCACTGCCATCTCCTCTCATAGTCACTAACATGTAAATTGTTGCCTATGATGTTGATCTTTCAATTGACGGATTTTTGGTGGAATAGAATAGACGTATTATCTAATTGTACATCAGTTTCAAATTTTTGGCGGTGTGATTTATACTATAAATAAAATATTAACTGTGATGTTGATCCAATGGCATGTACCAATTTTATTCGATTTATGACCTTTGGATGTTTATCTGTTATCTGTCATATTGATCCAATGACATATGACCTATATAATATGATATGTGACCAATGAAGTGTGATCTGTGACCTGAGGACATTGATCTATGACCTACGCATATTGAGTTGTGACCTTGGAACAAACTGTGAGCCACCGTTGCCATCGTCACCACCACCATCATCGCCATCGTCACCACCACCAAAAGAAAATAATAATAATAATAACAACACCTAAATCTTAGATGAAACAATAGCACCACCACCACCCACAACCATAACCACCATGTAGAAACAGATGTAACAGAGGTGGAAAAAAATTCCACAACCACCACAATTGTGCAACGACGTTCATACTTCTCCAAAACCATTGCACAATTGCGCAAACGAAGTGAACGCCGCAGTATACAGGGTTGCAGGTGCAACGCTGCATAGCAACACATGAGGTCGCAACAAGCGACACGACAACTAGGGCGACGTTGCGTGGTGTCACTAATCGCTGAGTTGTAGCGCCGCATGCTGCAAATTGATGATGCCATTCATAACATTAGTCACCGATCTGCAATGCCAGAGAAAAATGGGGATGGGCCATGGCACGAACGGTCATCTAAAACATTAGCTAGATCGATGACATCGCTTGGCATGGCACGACGTCGCGCCATATAAGAGGATATGGGGCCACTATGATTTTGGGGTTTTTAGGGTTTGGGAGGCTATAATTTAGAAAGAGAAACTAGAGGATAGAGGGAGAAAAGAGATAGGATTTTGGGGGTGGTTGGGTAGATTTTATAATAATATTATTAATATTAATAGTTGAATTATTATATGATTTAAGAATAAGTAAACTTTATTTCTGATTTTTGAACTACAATTTTTGAAAACATGCCGCAGTTTAATTTCCACAATTTCTATTTTTAATGGACCATTTGTTATATAATTTTAGATATGGGATTGGGCAGCTCATACCACCCCTTTTTTGTGGAAATTATAGATACTAATAGATTTGAAGATCCCATTTCATAACCCAGTGGCTTGTTTACTATTTCAAAAATAAGAGATTTTTCAGTTAAACATAATATATAAAGTAAATATTAAATACCCAGCCAATCCCTAAATCTCTCTCCAGTGAACCTAACCATTTTTTCCACTCTCTATTTACCAAGTAGTCACCAGTTGATTAACATCTTAGATGGCAATCACCGGAGGAAAAGAAAAGGAGTGTGAGACGTAGCGCTGACGCCTTAACTGTTGCGCCACGTTGGAAAACTGCTTGATGCTGCAAAATCGCACCACTACGGGTGGTTTGCAGCACTGCTCGTGGTGTCTAGCCAGGCCCTACGACGTCGTGAAAAGCGCCTCGCTAGCAATGTAAGGCGGTGGGAGAATCTTTTCTTTTTTTCCTTAATTTGATTTGTTCCATGGTTTATGGAGGTATGGGTTGTGGTGTGTGATGTGGGTGGGATGGTGCATTGTCGTGGCTTTGACGGTGGTGGTAGCTTTGTTTTGGTGGATATGCTCTAGCGATGGTGGCTCTGTTGCATTGGATCTGGTGGTGATTGTGGCAGCTTTGTTGCAATAGTGGTGCTCTGTTCGGTGGTGGCGGCTCTTTGCAGTGATGAATATGTTGGTGTACTATATCGATCGGTTGTCGTGAGATAGGGGTGGCTCCGGTAGTTACGATGCTCTATTGTGGTGGTGAAGTTGTTGGTGTGCTGTGGTGTTGATAGGTTGTCGTGAGGTGGTGGTGGCGGCTCTGTTGGCGACGGCGCTCTGTTGTGGTGGTGGCGGCGGCGACTCTTGTGATGGTTAATTTGTTGGTGTGCTATGGTGTGAATAGGTTGTCATGAGGTGGTGGCGGCGACAATCATGATGTCACTGGAAGCAGTGGTGAGGCGGTGATCATAAATTATTTAGTTGATTGTGACCAATAAATTGATCAATGTGTAATCAATAAATAATACGTGAATAACGAAATAGATAAATTGTGACCAATAAATAATATGTAATCTAAAAATTTATTAATTTATCACCAATAATAACTCTAGAATTTGTGACCATGTAATAAAATGTGATTTATAAAATTAATTAAATGTGACCGATAAATAAATTGTGACCTATAAATTTTTTAATTTATAACAAATAAATAAATTATAACTTATAAAATTTTTAATTTGTGATCAGAAAATAATTTGTGACCAATTAATTTGATAATTGTGCCTTTATATATTTAAATAATAAAATATATTTTTGATGTATTATTTTATAAATAAAATATAATAAAAATCTAATTTTTGAAGTTTGAAACATGTTTTCTTAATTTTGAAATGTGTAGTACTTAAATTCTTATGAATTTCCCTCTCACCCCCCTCGCCCCCTCTTTTTCATCAATATAGTCCGTCTAAAAGTGCATTTCAAAGCAGAATGTGAGAGCTTCAAAATGGTGTAATATAAGATTCATAGATAATTGATCACGGGACAACCCTTGAATCTCGACCAAAACGTAGAGACCTCAATATGAAAGTAGCAATTTAAATAAAGAATTGACCCCTTACTCTCACCACTTTTCCTTTGCTTCATTTGACAGTAAACTACTACTATAATGTGGGAGAATGTGAGTACTATAACTGACATTGCAACACATTTCGAAAGTAACGAAGAAGGTGGCCAACTCCGAAGCAGAGTTCGCAGTGTTAGGATAGATGTGTTGACGCTGAAATACAAGGATATCAATTTTCATGTCTCAAGCAACATTAATACTATTTTTATTTATCACTGGTTAATTGCAGAAAAATCTTTTACTCCCACATCTTGCTCATATCTTCACAGATACGGTCTACTATAATTCCGTTAACGTCTTTACTTCTTAATATAAATAAATAAGATAATTCTAAGATATTTGATTATGAAAGAAAAACCGTCCACTTTCAAAGAACGATTTTCTAAATTGTAGCGTCTGGTGTGGATTCTGCTATCATATTTCTTTTAAAACATAAAATAAATCAAGAATTAAACAAAGATTTTGACATTTTGTCCACAACAAGCTATGTTAATACTTACCAATATAAGGGCATGTTATCCTAACACGCAAAAATTCGTAACTTATTCAATTTCAATTATAAGAGAAATATCAATCTAGTGCACACTTGTTAGAGGACCACATGGGGATCGCAAGAGAAGCTGCTTTAGGGAGAAGAGCAAGGAAATGGAGATTTGAAAATATTTTTGAAATAATAAGTTGGCTTGAGGAGACAAGGAGAGGCGGTCGAGAAGGAAGAATGCAGGCAATTTTTGGAAGAAAGTGAGATTCCCATTACAATAACTCAGCCACCTACAAAGATTTGGTTCTTTGAGGGCAATTTTTGGAGCAAAATGAGAAAAACCATTACATCCATACCCAAGATATTAACAAATCAAAAACTCTCACTTTGCAAGACAATAGCAGACACAGCTTCTGACCTATCAAAGGCAGGCAGACAAGAAGCCAAAAACTATAGAAAAAGTACAAGCAAATACAGGCTATGCAATGCAATGCAATGCAACGCAACGCAACATAAGCAAACCAACTGTATGGATCCCAACAGAATTTCACAGTACAAGCTTTTTATCAAGAGAGTTGATAAAATTTGGCTGATATGGAATTTCAGTTAATTAGTTTGCAAAAGCTGAAATGGATGAACCAGATGTTGATGCCCCTGCTTTACCTGTCACATTCTGAGACGCTACCTCACTGGAGGATCCAGACTCTGGCACGTCTCCAATGTCCAAAGTGTCGGGAAGCTTTTCAGAGAACTCGGGATAGATCTGTAAGGAAGAGACAGACCATTTATATATCTTTAACTTGAGACATTTAGACTAATCAAACACGGTATTGATATCCAGTACACATGTAAACCTCATGCTTTCTCAACAATTCTGTCTTTGGACAGGCAACACTTCCAGCAAATCTGGTTGGTTGATATCTTGAAAAATGTTGCAGGCCTTAAAATAATTGGCCATTCACTAAAACAAAGCCGGCTAGAGAGTGTTGAATCTCAAAGTACTGATCGAGACAGACATACAAACAATCTATGCATAATTCTAAGCAGCTTTAAATATTATGCAGAAGCTTGATTTAAACTAAAGCCTGGAATAATATTAGAAGCATATGATAATTGTAAATACTATAGTATAACAGCAACTTCACACCCCATTAATGATCCTAATGAGGACTACTGATACAGCATTTGCAGCAGAATGTTAAAACAGTAATATTAGGATGACGACCACGAATGAGAAAAAAGAAACTGAATAATCTTGGTTGTAATTTGTTAATGAGGCGATAAAACTTGTTGTATAACCTAGGACCAGAATGCAGGTGAAGTGTTTACTGTTTTAGAAGAAATGTCCACAGAGACGCGTTTCTTATTCATCACTTGTTACAAACATTCCTAAATAATTGCAAGTGGAAATTAGGAGAACAAGCAAGGAAGCACTAAAAATGACGAAAGTTGTGAAGACTTTGGGGCTAGAAGTGTCCCTAATGACATTTTGAAATTCATGGACAAATTGGAGTTTTTTTGTCAACATTACTTACTAAAATCATTTCAACGAAGAAGATGCAAGATGAATGGAAAAAAATAAGGGAGAAATCCAGGAATGTGTTACGTCATAAAATGAAGTACGAGAAAGAGTGAAAATACTCAAAAGCTTGATCAAACACAAAAAGAGTGAAAATACTCAAAAGCTTGATCAAACACATTAGCACGACTGAAAATAACAAAATGAACGCTAATTAAAGCATCGAGTGAGATTTCTTAAATATTGGAAAGCACATAGACAAGTTCACATGGTCAGAACTCAATCTAACAGAAGATAACCTCAAGTTGATTCAGCATGTCAACTGTGGAGTCCAGGTCACCTTTGTTTGCTAAATAGACATCAGAAAGAGACTCCTCTGATATACCAGGAAATGTCATCTGAAGATATGCCAAATCCATGTCAGATTCTTCACTGAAGCTTGATTTTCCAGACATCTCATGTGGATTAAATGATGATGAGGCATAGAATTCACCACCAGGATGGTCCTTAGTGTTGGAAATCTGAGCAACTTGAACAGACTCAGCACCGTGGACATAGCTTTGAGAAGGGTTTTGGTGCTGTCCTTGTGTCCACATACGATTTGGTTCATGTCCAAACCAGACGGAGTGATTTCCACTCTCTAATTGATTTGCCAAAATTTTAAAATCTTTGCTTTCATCAGTTCCTCCTCTTTTTGAGAGTGGTATGTATGATGCTGCATAGGGGTTTAAAGAAGATGCTCCACCCTTCATTGCTGCAGATTGAAAACGTAAAAAGACAGGAGGAATGGGGACATTATGGGAAAATAACTAAAAAGAAATTTTCAATTTATAAAATCTGCCAAAGCTAATAGCAAACTAAAAACAGTGGCATCTCAAAACCTAAGAGTGACAAGTTTAAAAGCATTTGAATGGGAAACACATGAAGTCCGAGGTAATAAATAAAATTAAATGATGAAAACCACAAGTAGCATAGTTGATAATTAATTCAAAATCTTCAATTATATGATGAAATTAAACAGAACCAGAAGCAGGTTCCTGAATATATAAAATATGGTACAAAGTTTGTTCAAGTTCGCAAGAATTGCACTTGATTGCATTATTTTCTTCATTGTTTTTATTTTATTTTTGTTTCAAATTTTGGTTTTAACTTGCCCATGTTTTTGTTGGCAGGCAAAACAAAACTGTTGCATCTATGACATGTAACAGTTCTCCAATTGGCAGCCATATGGCTTCCTCTTCAGAGTTTCGATTTGTTCTCAAAACTTTCAGCACAATGAAGCATATTTTTTTCTCATTATATTTTTCTCCTCTTTTATTTGATCAATGACGCTCTTTTGGTCTATGAATTCACGACTTCTTGTAGCATCTGCAGTCGTAATAAGGTCTCTCTCTCTCAAACTTGGAAAAGCTAGAATTATGGTTTCAAAAAAAAAAAAAAAAAACCCACATAAATTGGATAGAGAAAAGGCACGCACAATTATATATTGCTGCATAAAACAGAGGAATCAATTGAACAGATGCATAGACACATGCGCAAATACACACATAATAAAAACAGAAAATAAACATACGGAAAACAGACACACGTACACGACCTACATAAATCATTACTCTGTTAATATCTAAAAAATTAATGCCACTGAATGCGAGATCCTCAGAAAAAGATGAATTCAGAATTACAAAGGCATGAAACTAAATAAAAATTATCATTTCTAACACAGACAAAGTAGTGCTAAAGAATTCATTAATTTCTCAATAAAGTACCTGAGTTCATTAAACGTTGACACGCACATACACATATACATGATCACATCGACAAAATATTACAAAACTCACGCGTTCAATCGATCAAGAGCTGAATTTCAGATTGATGAGGAAACCCTAGATTTCGCGATCGTCGAAATTGAAAAGATTTTTCGCCTTTCCCCCCTATTCGAAAGAGCAGAAAAGATTAGAAGAAAAATTAATTTGCGAAAAATGGAAAATGAAGACGGTTATTTTTTCGTCCCGTCATTTAGCTTTGTCGCTTTGTGGAACGTGACGTCATTGTGATTGGTCGATCCCAATTAAATAGAATAATCAGGACAAAATATTTCAATTAGAAAAGCGATGAGTTCAATCTAAAAAAAGGTTGAACTCCAATTTTAAGGATCTCCCATTGTCTCTTCCCTAGAACATCGTGAGTGAGGTAAATCGCAGGTTATACCTCAAAGGGTACAGGGTGGAATGGTGCTTATACACTTGTACTTACCCAAGAGCCAAATTCATATTTCAGGATTCGAACCCTTGACACGACAGCCTCAAGTAAAGCTGAATTTCTCCACCCTCCCCTTTTACCACTTGGAGATGTGCCCTGGGGGCAACGATGAGTTCGATCTAATTCTTATAACGTTTGGACAAAATAGAAATCCTGCTCGTCTCATTTTAGGCCTTTGGCTTTTCGATACCTCCAAAGTAAATATGAAATTGGATATCAAATTGACGATCAACGTATTCTAAAAATGAAATCCATATATAAAGACACAAATTTAATAACAAGGAGAATAAGAAATTGTGATGTGTAATTTACCATACTTCTAAAATGTCATACCTATCAATTTGATAGAAATTTATTTACTCAATTGATCAAAACAGATTTGTCTTGTGATTAAATTATAATCAATAGCTCATATTGATCGTGTTGCAAACTATATTATCGTCAAACACCAATCTTTCTACTAAATGCATCAAACATCTTTCCTGAGTACAATAAAAGTTCGAAAGAACCTGTCACATAGATGACTTCCTTTGGTTTGTTCAAATTTGTTCACGAGTAAGAAGAAAACTCTAAAAGAACATATTGGTGCATGTTTGACAAGTTCAAAGAGCTTACTTATTTGTAAATAAGTGTAAAATAAGTAATTCACTTAAAATTACTTATTTGAAACTAACATAACATTTTACTTACAAATCAAGTAAATTTTTACTTATGAGTTATAAAATACAAAGAAACTACACAAGTAGGTATCATTCCAATACACCAGAAATCAATTTCAAACGCAAGGTGGATATGATAAACAAGTCACACAAGTTCTGAACAAAGGCACATTCATCAAAATTCCACAAAAAAAATGTAGATTTGTAGGAAGAAGTATTAATGTGACAAACAGAACCGTTAAAGAGTACAAATGAGAACAAAACTATAGCAAGTCCATCTATCATAAAATAGTAGGCACCAAGAGTTTATTTCAGAAGACAAAACGTACGAAGACATATTTATCTCTGTCAGTATGTAGCTCGACCAATCTGCTGCTCCTACCGCATTGGCTGCTGGTTGTAATGGCTCTTCTCTTTCTTCTTAGCAGCAGCAAGTCTTGCATTCCTTGCAGCGGCTTCCACAGCAGCTGCCTTTGCAGCAGCGTCCATCTCTTTGCTAGATTTCTTCTTCTTAGAAGATGCCAACTTCTTCAGACGCTCCTTCACATCAACAGCAGATGCATCTTCTTCTCCCTGTTCTGTTCCAGCAGCTTCCTCAAGACCATTAGAGACATTCGAGCTGTTGGGTTGATCATCGTGTTCCTTAGACTCCTTTGAAACTTTATCCTTCTTTTTCTTCTTTTTTGCATTTTTAGATTCTGCAGGGACATTATCCTTCTTAGCATCTCCATTCGACTCCCCTTCTTTCTTTTCTTTTGTAGCATCTACAAGTGCACAAAGAAAGTGTAACTTCAGTCTGAACTATGGTCAATTTTAAATGTATATACACTGTTATTAACATCTACAACTGCACAAAGGAAGTGTACCTTCAGTCTGAACTATGGTCAATTTAAAATGTCAATGTACTGTTATTCACAAGCAACTGTAAAATATTCTGGTGATAAGAGCACTGTTATCGACATTATTTTCTCATTATCAGTTAACAAGTACCATGTACACAATAATAATTATGCATCTCTACCAAACAGGGTCCAGAATGAAACAGTTCATAGATTTATATTATAAAAAAAAAAAAAATGGTCCCAAATAAATACAATAACCATAAATGGAGTAGAATAAACAAAGCATTTAATGGACAAGACCCTAAAGAACGTAATACATAATAGAAAGAATTTTCTGTAAGGAAAAAAAAAAAAAAAAAGCATAATTACCGGTTGATTCATCTTGGGCTTTCTCTTTTGGGGTAACTCCAAGATCGGCCAAAATGGCCTCCAATTCAGCAAGCTCCTTTTTCCTTCTCTCCTTCTTGGAAAGCTGTCTTTCTGTTTCTTTTGCTGCCTGAGAAGTTTCTACAGGCTTTTTTGCAATTGGCTCAGGCTGTTCTTGCACCTCTGGTTCATGATCGTGGTCATCTTCCACATCATCATCACCTTCATCAAGAAGTTCTTCACTTTCACTTTCCTGAAATTTGGATGTGCAATCATCCATAAGACATAACACGTATCACAAACAAAGGCATGAAATAATGACCGTACCTAAAGGAATAAATGCACCAAACAACAAAGCAAAGACGTTCGGAATTTCCAAGAAAAAGGCAAAAAGGGTCTTGCTAATACTATGACACATGTAAACATCTGCAGCTCAGAAATCACCAAAATCACTGATAACCATTCATCACCATTATATTTCGCTAACTCTGCCACTATTATAGGTAAATACGGCAAGAAAAGTACATGCCAAGTCAAATATTTGAAGATTATTGTCATGGCCCATTTATGAAAGGGTAATGATAGGGCAAATTGTTGTAACTCATATGTAAAGAAGCAAAAGGGGAAAGAGAACCATTCTCTTTCTTTTCATAAAACATTTATGCCACTCAAACATAAAGAAGCAAAAGGCGAAAGAGAACCATTCTCTCTCTTTTCTTAAAACATTGATGCCATTTCCCATTTTAAGAGAGAAAGAAGGGGGGGGGGGGGGGGGAAAAAACAAGAAAGGGGGGGGGGGGGGGGGGGGGGGGGGGGGCAAACACTTTTTCATGCCACCACGATTCTCAATTTTGCCATTAACCATTGCATTGCAAACAAGACATCAGGAAATTATTATTGTTATTATTATTATTATTATTATTATTTTTATTTTGGAAAAGTAATCAAGTATTTTATTAATTCATGAGTAATACACAGGCAAAACAATTAAGCCATTAAATTTTAACAGAACAATACACTGTATATACCACTCTTACCAAAAGAAAACGAAAATATGAAATCCAGTTATTTTATTCATTATACCTCCAAGGGGTCTGGTTTATGATTCTCTTCAGGTTTATTCGAACCTGAATCGCCCCAAAGAGACTGGGGAGGGGCATTGGTGGCATAGTAATCATCATCATCCTCATCATCCACATCAGCCCATGACTTGGCAGTCAGAGGTGCAGGAGCCCAGAACACCTGCGGCTTCTCCTCCCCAGATTCTTTAGATTTCCCAGCTTTGGAGGCACTCTTACCAGTCTTCCCCACGCTCTTATCTTTGTCAGACTTCTTCCTCCTCTTCAGACTCTCCAACGCTGCAAAAACATTAGTGTTGCTAGCTGTGAACGATCCGTCGTCTCTCCTGTTCCCACCAACCATTTTCCAACGGTAACACAATTGCTTGTCTGAGATTGAAAAAACCTTGATAAAAAAAGCTACAAATCTGGATTTCCACTTAAAACCGGTCTCCCAGTTGTAATTTCCAACCCTAATATCAGAAACGGTTACTAAGAACAATCATAATTTCAATTAAATCGGAAAAGGGAATTCAAAAATTACAGAGAAATGATTGTTTATTCCGAAATGAATCTTTGAAATACCTAATTTTTGAAGAAAGTATATATTTATTGAATTGTAACTTTCCCGAGTCGTCGATGGACTGAGGACACAACGAAGGCAAATAGGGTTTCAGTAAACAGAGAGAAGGGCTAGGGTTTGGATATGTAAAAGATTAAAATGCACATGTAAAAGATGTTTGGGGATCAGTTATGTACAGATGCACATTGATATAGAGAGAGAAAGAGAACTTTATTGAAAGAAAGAGATGAAGGGGCTGTGGCACGGTAAAGATCACGTCAGTGAGGAAGAAGGTTTTATATATAGACCAGTGGTTTCTTCACAAATGTAGGGAGAGACGGAGATGAAGGGGGCTGTCAGCTGTGGTACAGTAAAGATCATTTTAGATTTAGAGGCCATTTCTTAATTTTTTTTTTTTTTAATCAATCATAAATCAAAATTTTTATTAATTTTTCAGTCACATATTCCATCAATTTTTATCAAAATCTACTAAAAATTTAATTTTTATTCAAACCCAGGCTAAATCTTCTCCAACCAATTCTAAGGTAAGCCCTTTGGCATGAAAATTTTAGGGGAAAAAGAAGTTACTTTTCAGAAATTTGTTTGGACAAAATAATGAAAAGTTATTTTTTTCATATTGGCATTTGGTGATTTGTGTTTTTCAATTTAAATCATATATCAAAATAAAATGTAATATTAAAATATTATAAATTAATTAACTGGACAATAAATAATTCTTTTTAATACCATTCCTTATCTCGAACACACCACATTGCCATTCCTAACCATCAACACGTCGTAACAAATAGAATTCTTTCTATTATAACACAGTACACGGAAACTTGTTTGTCTTGCAGAGTTCTTGCACAATTAACCTCGTCATAAACAGTAGGTGGAGACACCCAACGTCGAAAAAAAGGAAAAAAGAAATTATAACAGCCTTGTCACGTCCAAAATTCACGATCGTTTATCTGACTATATAATGTTGCATGACCGCATCATTAACTATGCCACAAAGAATAGGAAAATCATAAGAAAGAAAACTAATACAAAGAATATCTTGATCATAAGCCACCGATTTGATGAGATACTATTGAGATACTTGAGCAAAGCCCCTTGTGCTCCCTCCACATTTGAAAGTGTATCATCCATGTTCTCATCAATCCTACATGACAACATTGTTCTCAAGTTCAAAATCACTCTTAGAAGAAAGAAATAAATCAGGCAAGGAGAGTAATTTCTAATATGGACAATATATTCTTTAAAACTTCTATCTATTACTTGTGGGAGTATTAAACAAAAAACTGGTAAAACAGATATATAATCAGCGCACCACAGTACCACCACAATGAAAGGCGAGATGCCTCGACTCCATCTATATAAATGCATAGACAAATGCTAACAACCCTATGCTGGATTAATGATACAGTATTCTACTATATTCTCGATATCTAGGACGGATTTATAGTAACAATTATAGACATACATCAGGAAACCAAATATAACAAAGCGCTAGCTCATCTATCTCTCTTGCCTACTAAATGACAGAAAGTTATGATTGTGCAGTCTGAAATTGATTATTGACATTAATTAGTTGCGATAAGATAGACTTCATTTGTAAACCTGATAGCAATCTCTCCTTGCTGAGAAACCAAGGTAGCGAGCTGATTAAAAATATTGCCCAGCTCATGAA